AAATAAATAAATAAATAAATAAATAAATAAATAAATAAATAAATAAATAAATAAATAAATAAATAAATAAATAAATAAATAAACTGACTTCCTACAGAGATCCAAAATTAGATCTATAAATGTATAATCCCAGCAACTCTGAGAGAAGTTTTAGACGGAGGGAGAGTAATGCCAGAGCTAAACAACTTGGTCAAGTTCAGGGACAATGAGCCAAAGCCAGGATCCAATCTCTAACAGCCTCTGCAATTCTGAGTTCTGAGTCTGTTTAGTCTTTCAAAAGGAATAAAAACAACTCAAACAACATTAAGAGCCCATTCTACAACTAATAAATGTCTCTTAAAGTGAAACTATTTGTAATTGTGGAATACCAGGCAAATGTGCTCATTATTTTAAAACAAATCTGTACTAATACATTATAAGACAATGCAACAAAGTCCTTGATGCTTGAGTTAAACTGCATTTTAATATTTTTAAATGTACTAAAATTATTAAAAACGGCATTTTAATATTCCTTGGGAGGCAGTGGCAGGCGGACCTCTGAGTTCCACGACATCCAGGGCTACACAGAGAAACCCTGCCTTAAAAACAAAACAACAAAAACCCTACATTTTCTACTTTGTATGTGTGTACATGTGTCATAAATTAAGGTTTGGAGACAAAATCTCAGCCCAGGCTAACCTCAAATTTGCTATGTAGCTGAAAAATACCTTGAGCTTCTGATCCTCCTGTGTCTGAGTGCTTAGATTACAAGTGTGCGCCACTGCTCACAATTTATGCGGTTCTGGTGTCAAACCTCGGGCTGCATGCTAGAGATGCATGCACTCTATCAACTTAGCTACACCTCCAAAGACTCTCTTGGCCCACCCTGCTTCCACTAAGTGCTGAAATCACAGGTATGTGCCACCACACCCAGCTTACAAATCTTGTTTTGTTTTTCGAGACAGTTTTTCTGTGTAGCTTTGCTCTTTTCCTGGAACTCACTATGTAGCCCAGGCTGGCATCAAACTCAGAGATCCGCCTGCCTCTGCCTCTCGAGTGCCAGGATTAAAGGCATGCGCCACCACCACTGCCCAGCTTAAAAATTGTTTTTTGTTTTTTTATTTTTTAAAGATGTATTTATTTATTATGTGTACAGTGTTCTGCCTGAATGTATGCCTGCAGGCCAGAAGAGGGCACCAGATCTCATTACAGATGGTTGTGAGCCCCAATGTGGTCACTGGGAATTGAACTCAGGACCTCTGGAAGAGCAGCCAGTGTTCTTAACTGCTGGGCTATCTCTTCAGCCCCCCCCCCTTTTTTTTTTTTTAAGGTGTGTGTTTATGTGAGTATTTGTATGTGAGGATGCCCAAGGATAACATAGGATACTTCTTAGAAATACTATCCTAGAGCTCACTGATTAAGCTAGGATGGCCGGCCAGCAAGCCCCAGGGATCCTTTTGTCTCCAGGTCCCCAAGATCTCCTATTATTAAGCAATGAGTACCACCCTAGCATTTTTCATGGGTTCTGGAGTTAATCTCAGGTTCTCTTGCTTATAAGGATTTACTGATGGAGCCTATCCCACACATATCAAGGTTTAAAGAATGTATAAAAAGAACTTCTAAAGAGATTGTTAAGAAAAGCATGCAAAAATATCTGGCAAACTGAACAAGAAATGTGAAAGGACAGGTAAGACAATCTATGAAGGATGAGTCTGGGCATTCAGGTTGTTAAAAGATGTACACACACACACACACACACACACACACACACCAACAACAACAACAACTCTCTGTCAGCTTTTAAGTGGTTAAAAAAACATTTATAGCTCATGTTGGAAAAATAAAAATGACAGTTCTGTAACTAATGGAACAATACTTTCTTCTTCAATCTAACAAAATGATTTGGACTTTCCCATATTTGTCACTGTCTAGCTCTTTCTTAAACAGTGACAAAAATCTAACGGTTAATGGGATAGAGGGATGGCTCAGTAGTTAAGAGCACTGGATACTATAGAGGACCGAAGTTCAGTTCCCAGCACCCGAGTGGGCAGCTTACCATCTCCTGTTAACTGCAGTTCCAGGGATCCAACACCCTCTTCCAGTCTCTGTGGGCACCCCTCCAACACATACATATACATAATAAAAATTAATAAAAACAGGGCTGGAGAGATGGTTAAGGGCACTTGTTGCTCTTCCAAAGGACCCAGATTCAGTTCTCCACAGCTGCATGGCAGCTCACACCTATCCCTAACTCCAGTTCTGGGGATGCCCTAATCCTGTCTTTGCTGGCCCCAGGTAATCAATCATGCAGTGCACACACATACATGCAGCCACTCACACACACATATTCAATAAAAATCTCTGCAGCCACTCACACACACATATTCAATAAAAATCTCCCTCTCTCTCTCATGCTTCCAAGTCTTGAAAGTCCTACCTTATAAGGGCTAATTAGTCTTCTTTTAATGTCCAGTCTGTAGCTTCTGTACTGTTCAGCATCACTCAGGTCAGTTCCCAGCAGTCGAAGAATCTCATAAACCCGTCTAGCATGTTGCTAAACAAATGAAACAAGAAAAATATGGACATTTTCCTATTAAAAAGCAAGTTTTTCTAAAAGAACACAGAATACAGTTAATAACTGTAGTGGCCAAAGAATTACGATGATTGGTAGAGGAAAAATAAGATAGTCTCTGCACTCAAGAAACTAGTAGCTTTGTAGGTAACAAATGAATAAGGTATTCTAGGACATGATGGTAGCACAGCCTGGGAATGTGGGAAATGGTTGAAGACAATTCTTGTGAGAATGAAAAATAAAATCCGAGTCTCCTGACTCAGTCTCTCTCCCTCTTCCAGTGTGTGTGTGTGTGTGTGTGTGTGTGTGTGTGTGTGTGTGTGTATGTATGTGTAGCTGGGGATCTAACCCAAGGCCTCACATACCCTAGACAAGTGCTCTCCAATGAGCTAATATCCCCAGCCTCTGAGCTGAATCTGAAAGCTAGGAAAGCATTATCCTAGAAATGGGAGGGCACTGCCTGTAAATTTATGCACATGCATATATATATATATATATATATATATATACACACACACACACACTTAGAACAGAGCAGCTTGTTACTGCTGGAGGGGAAAAAAAAAACAGGAAGACACCAGGGAAAGGGACTGACATACAGGGTCAAAAAGCAGACTCCAACCTAGTCACTACCAAGTTTTTCAACAGGAACAAAAGTGATGTGCACAAATTTCTATTTTAAGTAAATAATTAAGCTGAACACAAATGGTGCAAAAATAAGTTAAACCACTAAGGGCTGTGACTTATTGGTGGAACACTACCCAGCATGCATGAGGTCCTAGAAGAGGAGATAGAGGGGTGGATCCAGAGACAGAGGGTAGGGAGAAGAAGGGGGTGGGGGAGAAGCTAAGCTATGAGACCAGGGATCAATTCCCAGAACCTACATGGAGACTAAAATTCACCTATAACTCTAGTTCCAAGGAATCTTATGGCCTCTTCTGAACTCTGCAGGCTCCTACACACATGTGATATACATGTGATCAGGTATATACATACACACAGAAAAATAAACACAATAAAGACATGATCTAAAATAGCATAAGACTACTGAGGAGACAAGGACTCTAGAGATGTATAAGGAGCACTTGGGGGAAACTATGAAATGACTGGATTTTTATAGAGCAGAGAACAAAGAGGCAGGTGAACATCTAACTCAGGCCTAAAGGTTGATGATTTCAACAGTGCAACACATATGTAACATATCCAGTTGTGCCCAGGGACACTTAAAAGGACAGAATGAAGGAAGGGTTGAGGGTAAAGCTAAGTGGTAATGCACCTACCTAGCATTTGGGTTCAATCCCCAAATGGCAGAGGAAAATGAGAGAGGGGAGGGGGAGGGAAAGGGGAAGGAAAGGTTGTGGGAAGTCTGTGGGAAAACTATTTCAACTTCCTAGAAGAGTTGTGAGTTGAGTCTAAAAAATTGAGTACTATCTGGCCAGGAAAACAGAGGAAGTGTTCCCTATAAAAGGAATAATATTTATACAGGGACACAGAAGTAAGATTTGGCATTCATGAAAAATTGTAAGAAATTCAGCAAAGCCAAGAGCATGCACAAAGTTGGAAGGAAGCTGAAATTAGCAAGGTGCAGATCCAGACACAATGAGCTCAGCATGCCCTACTTAGCGGTTTCCTTTTTTTGTTAAACCATCATTTGTTTAAAAAATGTGTTCATATACACTTTAGAAGCGGAGCTATTAATTACTCAATAAATATAGGTTTGATATAGTAAATAGATATAAATTATTTCTAAATATATATTCTCTATTTTAAATAGGAAGTCATTAAAGAGCAGAAGACAGGGAGTTTCAGTTCACATTGTATTGTTGAAAGTAATCAGCAGGTCTTTGGCTATAATTCTGAGAGCTCAAGGAGAAAATCTAGATTTGACAGTTTGGATGAACTCTCCCAAGTAGAATAAGAAAAAAATGAGTATAAAGAAGCCTGAAGAAGAGTTACATTTAAGAAGCATCTAAAAGAGTAGAGACTAGTGGAAGTGTTGCAATTAGGGTTAAAATGGTGCATGGAAGGAAATGCAGGAACGTGATACTCTCAAAGCCAGAGCGGCCAACAGCATCAAACGGGTTGTTCTTATCAGGAACACTGATACCCATGCATTTCATAGTCCAACCCCTACCCACTCCTCAGAATTGTCACTAAAGGCTAGTCTGTCAAGACAGTTAGAAAAAGAAGTGTAAGAGCTGAATGCATCAAGAAGGAAACATCACTGGGCAGTGGTGGCACACACCTTTAATCCCAGCACTTGGAAGGCAGAGTCATGTGAATCTCTTGTGAGTTCTATTGAGTACTATCTGGCCAGGAAAACAGAGGAAGTGAGGTTTAACAAAAAGGCCAACCTGGTCTATAGAGTGAGCTCCAGAACAGCCAGGGCTACACAGAGAAACCCTGTCTTGAAACACACACCCAAAGGACATTTCATTAGCTTTATTAGTTACAACGTGAATTTTCACACTAAAATGCATTTGAATGTGGGGAAAAAAGCACTGCTTTTCCCATGAAGTGCCCTCTCACTCATGAATATGTACTAACATATATAACTTCCTTGACATCCCATGTTTCCCCTATGCCTATTTTACTACTTTAAATTTTAAGCCAATATACAGAGCATAAAAAATGAGGGCTGGCAAGATGGCTCAGTGGGTAAAGATATGGGCAGTTAAACCTGATTACCTGAGTTTAATCCCTGGAGCCCACGTGATAGAAGGAGAAACCCAACTCTAGGGAGTTGTTCTCTGACCTTCACACTTGGACGAAGGAACGCATGTGTCCCCCAGACCCAAATGTGTAAAAAAACAAACAAACAAACAAACTTGAAAGTATAGAAAATGAAAATTACACATTTTCTTAGCACCCTTCTACCAGTACGTATCTAGGGATAGAACCACTTCCCAGCTTGGTTTTAGGGCTGGAGAGATAGCTCAGAAGCTAAGAGCACTCGCTGTTCTTCTAGAAGACCTGGGATCCTACATGCTGGCTCACAACTGTCAGTTCCTGGGGATCAGATACTTTCCAATCTCCTTGGTACCAGGCACACACATAGCACAGACATACATGCAGGCAAAACATCCATACACATAAAATCAATCTTCCCCCGAACGCTTAATTTTAAAAAGATTTACTGCATTTTCATATGGGGGTGATGGTGGTGGTACAACACTTGTACCAAGGAGCATGTTAGAGGCCAGAGGACAACTTTCTGGAGTTGGATCTCCTTATACCATGTGGGTCCTGGGGACTGAACTCAGGTCACTAGGCTGGGTAGCCAACTCCTTATCCACTAAGCCATTCCGCCAGCACAGTTGATCTTTCTACTCATCTTTGATGTGCTTATTATATTTAGCACAACATAAAATGTATTCTCTCATTCTGTCAACAGGAAAGTGAGTACTTAGTACAGTGTAGCGTGTATTCCCTCGTCATCTGTCAATAAGGAAAGTGAGGTATGAAACCATAAACTAAACTGTTCTTGATGACAGAGCCAAGTTCCAGGGCAGTGTTACTTCAGAACCTACCCTCTAACCACTCTTGCTTCCCACACATTTTAAAGTCCTTACACTAGTTTAGTTAAGTACTTAAAAAATGTAGGTGCTTCTCTCCTATGAAATAAAAATTAAAGAGATACAGCCGGGTGGTGGTGGCGTACGGCTTTAATCCCAGCACTCGGGAGGCAGAGGCAGGCAGATCTCTGTGAGTTCGAGGCCAGCCTGGTCTCCAAAGCGAGTTCCAGGAAAGGCGCAAAGCTACACAGAGAAACCTTGTCTCAAAAAACTAAAAAAAAAAAAAAAATTTAAGAGATACCTTATTTATTTTGAACTTCTGCTGTGCTTGTATCGCCATATCTTCATTGAACCCTTGCATTAATCTTTCCCGGGAGAAACAGGGCAAATCTTGGCAAAGCTTTACAAGTACAAAGTCTCTTAGTTTCACATAGCTTTTGGATGGATCTTCCGCTAAAAAAAAAAGGAAGAAAAAAAAAATAGCATTGCCCTTACACAACACAATTCCACCATCATTTGTAATCTCAATAATATGGTAACAAGGTAACATTCTGAAAAGAAAATTATATACCCAAAAGTAAAACATTAAAGATCATTCCCGATAACTATTGTACCAAATAAAACGGTAGGTATGCTTTTACAAAGACATTTATACTATTTATGAAATGACAGCTGCTCATTCTGCACATCAGTTGTTTGACTGGAATGTGACCACATGCATCTTCATTTTAACTGCAGTCAAAGTAGCCATATATGAAATATTCAGGTGTGGACAATAATTTCAAATGCATTTATTCTCTTTTTGGTAGCTAAGAATTCCAAGGTCAACTATCATTTTCTTTCAAGACTTTATTTATTGCTTGAGAACCTCACACAGCATATGATCAAGTCCCACTTTTATTCTCCCCTCCAGTTCCTCCCATATTCCCCAAATGTAGCAACTTCTTTAATCCAACAGCGTGTATGGTCCTCCCATATCAACTCTTAGAGACTATAGTAAGGACATGACTTTAGTCCTTCCTTCATCACTTCTGAACATCACACATCTTCTTTTATGTTCTCCTATGGTACAACTACATTAGATTGGCAGTCCAGTCAACACTGGAGCAAGATGGCTAGACTACTACTTAACAGAGTTGTGTCATTCAGAGGTAGGACCATGGAAGTTATCCCACTTCTGTGTTTCCATTTCCTTATGAGTTGACAAGTTAAAAGAATGAACACCAAGATGGACCAACACTCGATGGTCAAGGTACTTTCTGCACACGCCTGGCAATCTGGGTTCAATTTCCAGAATCCATTTAAAGGTGGAGACAACCAACCCCACCAAGTTATCCTCTGACCTGAACACGTGTCCATGCTCACACAGACAACCACAAACGATAAATAAAATTATGTGTATGAGTGTTTGCCTCCATACATGTTTGTGTACCATGTGCATGTACCCAAAGAGGCCAGAAGAAGGCATGAGATCCCCTGGAACCAGAGTTGTGAGCCACCTTGTGGGTGCTGGGAATCGAACCTGGGTCTTCCAGAAGAGTAGTCAACACTCTTTACTGCTGAGTCATCTCTCCAGCCCCACATGTCAATTTACTTCAAAGCTACACTAATTTATAGTATAGCACAAGCATAGGAAGAGGTAGACATGCTGATCAAGTGGAGAATCCAAAGTAAACCTATATATTATGGTCATTTTCTGACAAAGTTACCAAGACAACTCAATACAGGAAGTCTTTTCATCAAATGGGGGTTGGAAAGTGGGATCTCCACAAGCAAAGGAGTGAAGCTGGAGTCTCATTTCCTCATACCAAATATCTACACGGAACAGGTAAAACTATAAAACTCTTGGAAGTGGGCAGTGGTGGTACCCAGTTTAATCCCAGAATTCAGGAGGTAGAGACAGGCAGATTTCTTGAGTTCAGGGCCAGCCTGGTCTACAGAGCAAGTTCCAGGACAGCTAGGACTACACAGAGAAACCGTCTTGGGGAAAAAAAAAAAGACAGAAAAATAAAACTCTTAGAAACAATAATGTGCATACACCTTCATGACTTTTGCTTAGGCAATGATTTCTTAAGACACAATAACAAAAGTGAAAATAAACAGGTAAGCTACATTTTAGTACAACTTAACACTTTGTGTTTCAAACAATATTATTAAGAAAACAGACAAGATCTTCAAGACATATAGGATAAGGACCAAGTGTTCAGACTAAGTTTTTCACTATTAAGTAAAAGACAACAGGATACAAATAGTCATTTCTCAAGAAGATACATAAATAGACAATGAGCACACAAGGACACATCATTAGCGACAGAGGAATGCAAATCACAACAATAAGATCCCATTTCTTCCACAAGGATGACCAGAATAAGACAATATCAAATCTGATGTGCAGAAACTGAAACCCTCATACACTACTGATGGTACATACTCTAAAACTCTGCAGTCACTCTGGAATACAATCCAGTGAGTCTTAGAGGTGTGACACAGTTACTGGGTTTTTACAAGTTCCATCCTTAGAGATGTGAAACATAAGCCCATATAAAGACATGTATGCTTGCCAGGCATAGTGGCACACTATGTGGGGCCAGAGGCAAGCGGACTTCTGTGAGTTCAAAGTCAGCCTGGTGTACATAGTGAGTTCTAGCCAGTCAGAACTACACAATGAGACTGTTACAAATGACAACAAAAAAACTTGGGACTCAAATATTCCTATTATTCCCATGAGCCAAACACTAGAAACAACCCAGTGCCCCCTCAGTGAAAGACTAAAAAGTAAATGCTATCTAACTATTGCTTTAAAGCAGTAACTGAAATCCCATCCACACACCAGGCTGATGACTAGAATGAAGAAACCATGGTGTTCCACTGGTGGAGGCCCTCCTACTCTTATGGAGTTTTCTCCTTCCTCCAATAGTCTAGCACTTCTTCAGTCACCCTTTTGAGAACGTTATTTTCAGTACTGGCTCTGGAGATTATAATGACTTTGTATCTGTACCGTATTTCAGATTAATGTGAATTCTGGAATGAACTGCTGTCTTCTTTCTCTTTGCCTGTGTGCTATTACTGTTTTACCTTTGTAACTGTCCTGTTTTCTTTTCCCTTTTCTTGTTTGCTCTGCTTGTTGAGGCAGGGTCTCTACGTGGCCCAAACTGTCTTCAAACTTAACAAGCCTTCTGCCTCAACCTCCTGAGTGCTGAGATCATAGGCATGCATCACAGAGCCTGGTTAGTGCTCTTAATCTCTTCATATGAATCTGCAGTGCTATGTTCTTTTGGTCTAAAGAATTTCTCTAGTGTTTCTTATAAACCATGTCTGCTAGCAACAGACTTCCTTGGTCTTTATTTTGCTTTCCTTTTGAAGGCTAATTTTGTTGACTATAGAAACCTTACACAAGTGGTACTCACCCCATTTGTACATACTTCTGCTACTATAATTTTTAGATCAAATGTGAATGAAGTATGACGAGAGACAAGAAGCAAGCATGTTCTTGAACCCTAGAACTGGGAGCTAAGCAATCTCTTTATAAGCCCAATGCCTAAAGTTATGTAACAGACACAAAAAATGGACCACGATAGTCACCCACAAAAGAGAAATTCCAAATTCAATCATGGGCATCTATATTACTTATTCATAATGGTGAAAGACAAAGTGTTTTCCTGGTTAGATTGAGAGCAAGGCATAAGTACTATCTACCCCCATTTCTAGTCAGCCATTTTTTTTTTGTAACCACCCTCGCTGTTCTGGAACTTGATCTGTTGACTATGAGGGTCTTGAACTCAGAGATCCACCTGCCTCTGAGTCCTGGGATTAAAGGTGTGCGTCACCACCACCTGGCTCTAGTCAGCATTTCCTTGGAAAATTCTTAGCTCTGTAGTAAGGCAAACTAAGCAAATAAATAACACAGCTATAGATAATTACTTTATATGTGGTTGACATAATCTTGTATATAAGAAATACTAATCTAAAACTTACTACGAATGAGTAAGTTAAGTGCAGAAAGGATGTAGGCTATAGGACCAATGCACAGCTCCAACTATAAGCCTCCAGTAGCCCAACACTTGGGAGGTGGAGAAAGGATGATCATGAATTCAAAGTCATCCCTGGCTACATCCCGAGTTTGGCCTGGATTATGTGAGAATTTGTCTCAAAAACAAATAACCTAATTATTATTTACACACACTAGTCAACAAAAATGACACCAAAACAATATCTTATTTGCAATATACTAAAAAGAATAAACTATTTGTAATATATCTAACAAAAGCAGTACAAGACTACACACTGGGAACTACCATACTGTTGAGAAATACCTGGTGTGGGGCACTGGTGACTGAACCCAGGGCTTTGAGAATGATACATACTCTATTATTTATACTACACCCACAACCTGCACAAAAGAAATGTTGAAAATTCTAAATAAATGAAGACATTTCATGTTAACAGTGGAAGACTCAATATTAATATGGCCACTCTCTTCAAATTGATTATTCAATGCAAACTTTATTAAAACTCAAGAACCTTTATTTATGTTTTCCAGAATTTGATCAACTGACTATGGCTTTTATGGATCCATACAGGACCATAGATAAACAAAACAATTCTGAGAAAGAACAAAGTTGGAGGGCTTTTCCTTCTTATTTCTAAGCTCAGTGTAAAAGATCAAGGTGCTGGTGCTGCCAGCACCTGACACCTCACGGCAAACAAAGGGAGAGTACAACAGCTCCACGGAGACCAATGCACAACTCCAGGTTGATCAACAGGCCATACAAGGAGTAAAGATGGCTGACCTGGGGCTGCAGGAGACCTGCCCCTCTCCAGAAGAACTCTAGCTCCAACAAGAGTAAGAATATGGACAACTGCCAGCCAAAGCACCAAGTGTGAAAGATTCATCAACACTGGCAACTACATGCCACAACCAGGAAAGCCACTCATCTGACCAAACAGGACAAAGGAACTCTGACGTGGGCCCCGGGACCACTGCAGCACTCCTTCCTGCTGGCAGGGAAGTCAGCTGGGGAAGGGAGAAGCTGGTGGGAGTGGGCAGAGAAGGAGAAGAAGTGTGCAGACTGTTTCACACAGACAACAAACTTGAAGATTCTACTTGTGTTGTAGAATTATGAACTTTTGAGTTTATAATGATGCCTAGGTGAGGAGAAAAGTTTCTGTGAGGTATGCTGCACAGTAAAGTGACCGTGCTAGGGAAAAGCTCCTGCCTGTGTTGAGTGGGTACTCAACTCAGACTCAGTCTTTCCATCTCTGGCCTCCTCGTCCTATCCCCGCTAACCAGGCCACAGCCAGTGCTCATTTTTAACCCTACCCTGCAAACACATCAATAAACTTGTTTATTCTGCAGCACCCAGGCGAAAAACATGTTCACAAATTCAACTTTATACTATACAGAGTAAACTTTATATTACCATCAAAAAGAGATATAAAGCTATAACAATCTA